TACCGACGGAGACGGAAATCCGTGAGGTAAGGTGAGGTGTGACAATTTATCGGTCGACATTTTCTAACCCTTCCTTCCTTGTGAGAAGGCAGCATCGCTGCAGATGCTTTTTATCCGAAGGAAACACCTTACTACTGTCACATCCTCTGCAGTCAGTCAGCAGTACGACTTCGCCCTCAGACCTTGAGTAGCTGCTTTCAGTCTCATCGTTCTCCAATCGACCTTTCTGGCATGGTAGAGCCTTCAGGAACATATGTTCCAGCCAATATAGCTCGGTTGGGTCATCACGATAGGCCATACCGACCGCCACGTCAAGGTAGCAGCTACGGTCTCACTGAATTAAACTTATCGAATCATATCTTTACTCCTTAATTCTCTGTCGATTGCTGCTAATAATTCTACTACCGCTATCACTCTTGGATTTGAACTGACACTTAGGTCTCTGTGCTGACGTGCTATGGCAACCTGAACTGATGTACTTATGTACGAAGTTCTGCGTTATATCTGTCTGTCTGATGATGTGAGTTTTGGAGGAAGCTATTATCCGGTTAGTTAAGCTTCTCAAGTAATGCACAAGACATGATCACCAATAAAAAATTTCATAACTTGAAATAATCATACTCATAAAATTTCCTACCTTTTAATTATATATGTAATTGCTTACTGTTTAACAAAATAATTCTTCTAGTGTTATAATCTGTCTGTTTACTGCTGAAAATTTTTATAGCCCTTATTGATGAATCACTGGACAGTGCTCAAGGTTATTACATACGTATGTATCTCTTTTGGTTATTTTATGATCTGGACATAAAACAACTACATCCAACTTTTCAAATAATATAAGTGTCTTATCTATTTACTTATTTGCTATGAAATTTCTTTTCATTTATTCAGCGTTTTTGCCACAAAAGCGACTTGAAAACAATAAATCCGATGTAAATGCATAAATTAATTTCAATGTCCCAGTTAATCCCGACCGTGGCTGCTACCTTGACGTGGCGGTCGGTATGGCCTATCGTGATGACCCAACCGAGCTATATTGGCTGGAACATATGTTCCTGAAGGCTCTACCATGCCAGAAAGGTCGATTGGAGAACGATGAGACTGAAAGCAGCTACTCAAGGTCTGAGGGCGAAGTCGTACTGCTGACTGACTGCAGAGGATGTGACAGTAGTAAGGTGTTTCCTTCGGATAAAAAGCATCTGCAGCGATGCTGCCTTCTCACAAGGAAGGAAGGGTTAGAAAATGTCGACCGATAAAATGTCACACCTCACCTTACCTCACGGATTTCCGTCTCCGTCGGTAAGGGCTGCCCACAAAAAGCTCTAAACGAGCGGAGCTAAAACTCAAAAAGTCTCTCGTAAAAAGGCCGTGCGTGACCGGCTTCAAGCAGCTGTCCCTTGGGCTCTGCGGTCACGCAACCAGGTCTCTGAGACCGACACTAATCTACCTTCTTTTTCAGGTCCCTCAGGAAACAACCTTCCACGGTGTGGGCAACCGGGAAGAGACAACCGCCCTCATACCCGTAACATTAACGAGACTAAATTGGTCAAAATTAAATCATCACTAAATGAAATCACATTTTGCTGACAAGTTTTGATTCCACTAACCTGAGGAAGTTTATCAATGAAAACATTCGGGATGATAGATAAGGTAGAACTATAAAAGCGTCTAAAATCGACTTGGTGAATTCACTTAGTCCGAATTCGTAATTTTATCGGCTGACTACACAAATGTTGTGCAGTACTCATAATCATCACTAGGACCACAGATGATTTCAGTAGATAACTATCTTTACTTGTATTTTGCTTCTAGTGACGTAGATTTATAAGTCAATGCAGAGATCAACAAGCACACACTCTATTTTCCAGGACTAAACAGTATTGATACAGATTACTTTAGAAGTATTATCTTAAGGATAACGTGTAAAAAGTATATACTCAGATTTCCGCCCAGTGTAAACAAGATATTTGTATTTGTCGATGTTCTTACTCATTAAAACTATATCCTCTGTGTACTAACTGATACTCAGGAAACCGTTCAATAGGTCAACCATTGTTAAACAAGAATCAATATGCTTTCTCATAAATAATTCAATCAAAATACCAATCTACGCTAACAGTTGACGAAATAACTTTTTATAAGTAGTGGTATAACGGAAACAGTTAAGACAGATTTTTCTAACTAACGCGATATTTCTGAATGAAAAATATAGAATTCCTTTCTAAAATGAAAGAATGCGACCAATGCATGACTTGTATGAAAATGTCTGGATTCAATACTCTAGTAAATATATTACTAGAACCCACAACTTTTCTGTTCACAGGCTCTAGTAGAATGCTAGATGATATAAAATATAAGGATTTTCAAAGATACGTTAACAAAGTTGGTTTTTATTTGCTTCTTTCAAGATGATATTACTTGAAATTTTCACAAGACAGTAAATAAAGTACTCATTTATCAAGACGACATAGTAGATTCGAAAAATTTGACGTCCATGAGCAATATATTTAGAACAACCTGATCAAACATTGACCTATCAAATCTGATCTGCGTTTTCAAATAAGCTCTACAGCTAAAGTGGGTTAAGAATCGAGATGGAAATAAACTACTTCAAAACAATGTAAAATATTAAAGATACCTGTTGTGAAAATTAGAACACATAAGCGAACAACATTGTTTTCGATTAGAACGTCATCAGGCTTTACTCTAATATACATGAATATTGATATGTAAATGTTAAACCAATCAAGAAAATTTGAGTCAATAATCAGAATGAAATGAAGTAGATTATGTCACTACACATAATAGGCAAAAGTACAAGTTGATAGTTGAAAGACAGGCGTACTGATAGTAGTAAGAAAAATAAAATACGATAAAAATTTTATCAGTAGTAGGTCAAACGTGGATAAATACACATAAAATAATCATTGAAAAACATTGAAACCATTACGTAATAAGAAGTGTGTACATAATTAGATAGTGAAGAATATAAACGGGAAGGCAGAAAATTACCAACAAACACAGGATGTAAAAGGGATGCTAATAATAACAAAATAAAATTTAAAAAATTTTTTTAGACGTTAGTGAAGTCGTATCAGGCCACGGAAAAGATAGGGGTGTCGCGTACTGCTTTTGAACACATAAATTGGGGTTGAATGTATAAATTTTTGTGGCTTTTACTATGTGTAGAGGACGGGATCGAACTCCATTGGGAAATGATGGAGGAATACGATAGATCACCCAAAAAGATCTAGACTTTTCTTCAATATGACCTCTATCAATCAGATGTGCCATGATAGAACTGCGTATTGTTTTTAACTAGCCCTTCAGAAACCATGCTGGGAGGTGTCCACTCATTCGTTGGTTAAGCTGCCTGGTAGTACGCTCGATAGAGCTATCTCCACAGGATCAGCTGAATTTGTAAATGCATATAGAGGAGGCTAACTCAGACAACTTATCTTTCCAACTATCAACTTGTGCTTTGCCTGTTATGTGTAGTGACATAATCTACTTCATTTCATTCTGATTATTGACTCAAATTTTCTTGATTGGTTTAACATTTACATATCAATATTCATGTATATTAGAGTAAAGCCTGATGACGATCTAATCGAAAACAATATTGTTCGCGTACGTGTTGTTCTAAAGTGAAATATTTTTCGGAGCCAATCATCTGAGTATGATCAGTCTCATCTTTACAAGATCCAACAATTCCACAAATTTGAACTGAGAAAATGATATTTTCTGGAATAATTGAATGGAATTCCATTTAACATACCCTTTTATTCTTCCTTCATTTTGAAGATAGTAATTTAAGAGATTTTAAAACATCGAATTATTTCAGAAATTTCAATTATCATTCTTTTAATGAGTCATAATTGTGTGAGACTAAACTTGAAAGCGTATTTCATTAGGCATATTATTGATTTCTAAAACAAAATAGCTTTATGTAGTACAATCCATGTAATTATTACGGAATTCAATGTGTAGGATCAGTTACTTATTTGATTTAAATCAAATAGTGTACAAATGTAACTGTACTTGATGTTTCTATTTTGAAAAAGGACATACTTCTTAGTCAAAACTATCAGCTAGCACTCTTTTTAAAAATGACTGCGAAAAGAAATTCAAAGGATGGAAACTAGACCAGTTCCAAGGGCTTGAAGCTTTTGCGTGACGCTTCATTGATCGGGCCTAACTAATCACCTTCAACATATCAAAGGAATTAAAGTAACCTGAATAAAAAACTTGCAACACCTGATATCAACTTCGAGTTAGACAGACCCCTCTCATCTTACAAGATACATCTACAAGCCCAGAACTAACTGAGAGCTGACTATCCACTTTCACATTGAGTTGTCACCAGGTGGGTCTTTGTGTCTCAAAAAATGTCACTTAAAGGATGGCACATGTAGGAGCATTTTACCTCTAAGAATAAATAATACAGACTGAAGTCGGGAACTGAAACTGATCAACGATATCCTTTATTCCGTCGAGTATTTAAAGACTCGACTCCCAATTCATTAAAAAATACGGACACCCAATGCGTGTTTTTTTAAGGCCTTTCTGAACTTAAAATGTGGAAAAAAGACAAATGATTTACGCGATAAGATACAAATGCCAGGTCTATACACAAGCTGATAAAATCCAGAAGTTTTCCCAATCACAGTTTGCCATGTCAAAATGTTTCCAGTATATAATTACAATACATACTACAACTGCAAAACTTCCTTTACTAGTATTAATTTCTAACAACGATAAAGTAACTATGAGAAAAATATCTAGAGGACATAAGCCGATTTACAACTAGTAAAATAAAATTAAAAATTTAAGGTTACTAAGTTTGGAAAGTATAAGTGTGACCAAAGCCACAGGTAAAATTATATTATCCATTGCATAAACTAATAAACACTGCGAATAAATATTTTTATGTGTAGATATGTCCGGAAGTTGAGTGACAAATGCGAAAATTCCCCGATTCCTGAGGCCGTTATTTTCTACTTGGAGCGTTCATGGCTGAAAAGTAAAAAAGAACTGAAGCAACTTACTGAGCGATTCTTGCTACTTGATACAAACCAGTTAGAGCAACAAAGGCGTTTACACTGAGAAGATTGTAATTTTTGGGTATAATAACCATAGAATATCGAGACCATATGACACCGGTTGCTGCAAGTGCTGTGCTCTGGTATAAACTGACGTTTTCAACTGGCCGATTTATATCTGCCAAACCAGCTATTACGAGAAGCTTTTATTGATTAGTGATGGGGTTGTTAACATACCCATTTGAAAGTAGGTGCCCAAAAAAATATGGTTTTAGGTCCTGCAGGATGATCCCATAAAGGTTTTAGTCGAGCAGGAACTCTTTTATCCATAGCAGAAATCACGGCCCTGTAAATCGCTGACATCTACTTGGCGATGTACGCGGCGAAACTTTGTAATTTCAGTGTCCTTGAATTTGATTACTCCAAACAATCCATATCAATTGTAACGGAGTCGAAATCACTATGTGTGATGTTGCTAACCCGTCTTGATTCCTTCCTATTTCAGGGCGATCAAACACAAACGCTTTGGAAGCAGAAGAACAAGCCCTAAATGCTCTGAGCTTACAGGAGGACTCATAAGACCTTGGTACACTACCCACTATATTACTGTAGAAACCCCGCGTATTTAATTTTAAAAATAGAGATTGACTTGGCGACCACTTGCTGTTCTCTCTCTTGGTGTGAAGTGTTGAGCTAACTCTGTGTGTTGCAATTTTAGACCTGATCTGCTGTTCGGTGACTGCTGTAAACGCGTATTACACAGTTTCAGTTTGGAAAAGATGGGAGGCTGGATGGCCGATGTTAGTGCTAGCAATGTTGATCTTTCAGTCGATGCAACTTTCTCACGAATTCATTGACAATTTAATTTGATGACGGGTAATTTGTTCTGGGTTTGCAAATCCTTTTAGTGTCTTTGTAAATTCTCTATTTCAGAAGGCGAAAAAACAAAGGCATAACAGATGCGAGTTTATCATTAAGTAATGTAAAATCTGTGATTCAGTTACATCTGGTCCTTCTATATGAAAAGGGAAGTAGGTTTAATTTAGCCAGTCTCTCGTCATACGGCAGATTCACGATTCCAGGAATCAGCTTAGTTGCGGTTTTTTGAACCTTTTCTAACAGCTCACTGCCCTTTTTAGACAGAAGCTGGCTGCTTATATGTGACGCTCAAGTTTAGGACGGACGAATACTGCATAAAAGCATTGACTAAAGGCTTCTAAAACATTTGGCGTTTATTTCACAGTAATATGTAGAGTACATAACAGGCAGCATAGTGTTATTCACCGTGTATGCACCTGAATGTCGGTGACCAGTATGAATCACGATGCCCTTGGAAGCATTCATTGACAACTGTTGAGTTCCGGATCACTCAAATAATTCATGTAGATATTTTTGAAGCTTTAAGCTAATACCTCTATTTCTTATCGCTCTTTAAGTCTTGATATCGTCAGCATATAACAGAACTGATAGAGATAAGAGACTAGGAATGTCATTAACATACTGGAGGGACGACACCAGCCACAAAACTGTGCCGTGAAGCACCCCACTAAGAAAACTTAGAGTTAATCTGTACTCTTTATTGGCATCCTTAATAACATAAGTTGCCCTAATCTCAATATCACTTAACTTAGACAAAAGTCGACTATGAGAGGCTTTTTCAAAGCATTTCTAAAGTCAGTGGAGGCTACGTCTTTAGGTAGCTTTTGATGTTTAGGGGTACACGAACTTTCTCACCCACTAACAGGTTCGTGCGACATGAATAGCCTGTTCTAAAGCTTTACTGCCTCTTAGAAAGAACCTGGTTTTCGTCTAGTTACTTAAACAGCCTATGAACAGTCTTTTCTGTGATATTCATAAACACGCTAGTCAAGCTTACGAGCCGATATCTCTCGGTTTCGTGTCTTGTAACTGTTTTGAAGATATGACTTACTATGGCGTTCTAATATTTTGGCAATCTACTTTGGGTTACAAGTAGATTAAAACATACACTTAAGGGATTTGCGATGGAATTCGCTAGTTCTTTGAGTAATCTAGGATGCATTTCATCGGGCCCCAGAGATTTACCAAAATCGAGCTGGTTCAACGGATCAAGGATAGTGGGTTCCTTAATAGTCGTAGTGTCCAGAATGTGTATGAAGGGGTTTGTATAAATTGGAAGGAAGGCGTCTATATGGTATATTCATCACCTAAGTAGTGTGACAGTACGAGCTTTGTCGTAAATGTTTTTCATCAATGATGCACTACTGCTGTCTCCCGATAATGTTGGTATATTGCTTCTTAGTCCATTGGTTTACGTACGAGTTTGAGTATTCGATAGACCCCTTTACTAGCTTTACTTCATTCAATCTTTCAGACTTGTGAAGGGTCGAGGGAAAAATATTTCAGCCGTTGCGACATTGAGATTTTGTCTCATCAGTGACCAATGTCCTTGATTTCTCCCACATTCTTTTCTTCTGATAGAAAAGAGTCAGAGCGGGGAGTCCGTTGATGTGGGCCAAGAAAATTTTCAGTGCGTCCACGCTGATACAGGTTCCTGGATAAGTCTCATGCCATTTAGATAGAGGATTCGGGATTTGATGTCTAATTTTCTGAGGATGCTGAGTACATAATCACTTGTACGTTCGTTTTCCGGGAGTTAGGTCGAGCTTTAGCGAACACACAGAGTTTGAGAAATATATGGATATCCGAGAATAGAACATCGTGACCGCTCTTTCCTAGGGTTGTTGGACAATCAATGTTCGAAATGTCATACTTATACTTAATGATGACAGGTTTTCCGCTTGCCGTTTGCGCATAGGAAACTGTAAGACAGTTTTTGATAGCTTCCTTAGTTCCAGTTTCAACTTGGCCACCATCGAACGGTAATCTAAAGCTATATCAGCTTCGCTCTTTGTTCTTAGGTCTTGCATGGTCCTTCTGAAAGTTTCATTGACTCAGATCTGGTTGCTTTGGTCCTGTATGGTGTGATTTGGTGAAATCCATGTGGTTCGCACACACGTTTATGTAGGTATATCACTCCGAGTGAAACCATTTCGTTGAAGACACATAGGTTTGCAAATCTCTTGCCAGTTCCGTTATTTTTTCCCAGTCCATGTCGTCCCATGATGTCTTCATTTCTAGTGTTATCCCTTCCAGTCTTGAGGTTTGGGTCTTCTATCAAGATTGTCGGATTCTTTACTGGACATTTCTTGACGACGTACTATAGCCTCTCCAAGGTGAAATGTCTACGTCATGGGACGGGCCGGTGATGCTCCCACTGCTCGCAACTTGGAAAGTAAGAACAAGACAGCAGGATCTCACCTCAGCCCTGACAAGCAGGACCTTTACCTTCACTTCACTTTTGGGTTTCGTAACACCAAATGACTCGACTCCAAGAGGAGCTCTGAGCAGAACTGTCACACCTGGTTTCTACCGCCGCGGGCCTTTCACACTCCATGGGCCAGAATGGAAAGCTGTACCCATTGCTGGACTTAGGAAAGAGCAACAATGCCAGCAACACCACTTTACCTTACGATCAAATAACCGTAGGTTTCGGTGTTGGGCTGATTCCTCTCCACTCGTAGTTACTGAGGGAATCCTTGGTGGTTTCTTTTCCTCCGCTTAGTGATATGCTTAAGTTCGTCTGGTAACCACGTCTGACCCGAGGTCAGCGTCAATCATTTAATCGGTACAAACCATTGACCAAATCATAGAGCCAAGATCAAGCGATTGGTATAGCAAACGATAGGTGCGTTCCTCCAGAGAGTGTATAATACCATTAAGCCACGACTCGAGCACAATCTACCGCAGCATCTCAATCTGGTTATCTAGACTGGACTAGGCTGTGGCCGGATTATTAGGACGGAGCCTTTGACTAGCAGCAACCCGTGTTGATATACGAGTATACATGCCGGCAGTCACTCGCCCAATCCACGACACAATGTGCGTCGTAATAGGTATAAAACCGACCCTCAGCCAGGCGTGGCCACAGGATATCCCGTAGCCGCAATATGCGTTAAAGATGTTGATATTCAAAGCAGTATGCAGTTCACATTAATTCACAGAGTTGGCTGCACTCTTCATCAATACGCCAGCCGAGTGATCCACCTCTCAAAGCCGTAAGCCGGTTATCCCGTACATTGGTTAGCCAAATGCATCGGAATAATGGTTAACGCTGAAGCCTATGATATTTACTGCTAAGCCAGCGTACATGCAGTCCAGCACGAAGCCAGGTGCATGCAAGGCAGCAAACCCGTAAATGGCAAGCCAAATCGAGCCGCTTAAACAGTGTAAAATGTTTGAAAGGGGAACAACAACGGGGCGGAGTGTATGTATATCGCATACAACTCTCTTTGAAACTGGCACAATAGCGTCACGCACTGTCCCATCGCCCTTGGCAGATGAAGCAACCCGAAAGTCACGAGAACACCATCAGAGCATGTGACAGGCTAGGTACCCTGGTCAAGGTAATTCAAAATATTATTTTTAATTGTGTACAATTTTGGGATTCTGTCAATAATCGTTCCGCAGGTTCACCTACGGAAACCTTGTTATGACTCTTACTTCCTCTAAATAGTCTAACTAGGTCAGCATCAGTCTTCCATATAACCGACTTTTACCGTCATCAATCTGACCGTTGGTGGGGGCATACCACTGAATGATATTCATTGTGATCTCATCGTTCTTTGTTTTGAACGTGGCTTTATTAATCCTGGGTTTATGAGATTCCCATCTTATCAGCGCCATTTTTGCTTCTTCGGACAGTATCGGTTCAACTCCGTGTTTATGAGGCAGTGTATTTTTTATTTGTAGAGTCCTTGTGATATCCGAAGGAAGTAGGCTTTCATTATCAGACGTCACAACTCTTCCAAATGAAGATTTTCCAACTGCAAGGGTAGAGTTTAAATATTTGGCATTGCTCTGGCAAGTTAGTTTTCTGTGAGATTGGATTGCTGACTACATGCCAAACCCTCATCCTTAATCCGGGTTTGGGACTGGTAGTAACCCTAGAGGAGATGTAGTAGGATCAATGACGGGGAATAGTGTTACAGGAGAAATGAAGACATCTTGCTGATCAAAACCTTTATATATAAATATCATTAATTTCACTGTGTTTTTTGGGTATATTTGTTTTACTTAACTTATGAACTTGTTTGAATTATTTTTTTCGGCCATTTTGGACTCCTGTTTGTCTTGGTTGTTCGTTTGCAGTTTTTTGCTCCAAGAACCTATAAAACAGAAAAACGACATTGGTCATCTATTTGTAATAAACCAAAGATATTTTGGTCGATTATTGTGAATTGACAATAAACTTTGGTACTTAACTTTGGAGTTTCGTTTTGACATAATATTTGAGATCGTGAATTGCAAATAGATCGACAACT